GTGAAGATCACTGGCTTCTACAACGAAACTCCACAGCTCAAGTTTATCTGCAGGAGAAACTTGATCCTCTCGATCAACATCGACAAGAACACGGAGCGAGATCTTCAGCTTTCGGTGGAGTCTGCAGCGAAGAGACTCTCGGAGGAGAAGATCGAAGTGATAGACTTCTCTAGCCACGTTGATGTGTCGACGGATCCGGGACATTACGTTATATTCTGGGAGATTTCAGGTGAGACAAGCGAAGATGTTCTTCAGGATTGCTGTGACTATCTAGACCGAGGATTCATCGATGCTGGTTATATGAGTTCGAGGAAATGCAAGACGATTGGAGCTTTGGAGCTGAGAGTGTTGGAGAGAGGAACGTTTAGGAAGGTTCAAGAACATTTTCTAGGGCTTGGATCATCGGCTGGACAGTTTAAGATGCCGAGGTGTGTGAAGCCAAGTAATGTTAAGGTTCTGCAGATTCTGTGTGAGAATGTTGAGAAGAGCTTCTTCAGCACAGCTTTTGACTGAAAAGTTGTGTGGTTCAAGAAAAAGTGGTTTTTGTTGTTTATTTTTGTCTTTATTGTGTCAATAGATATAGTTTTACTTTTGTTATTTAATTCGGTGTAACTTGTAAGGAGTAAAGACAAAACCTTTTTAAAAAGTATCACAGTGGTTTTACTTTGCTTTTTGTGCAATTAATGTTTGGGAGATAAATAGATGATTTGGTGATGTGACGTTTTACATATTTAAATAGTTAAATTCTCAAGATTCGAATTTGATTGAAGATACGGAAACTGAAATCCGGATAATCGCTAAGTCGTACAGATGAAACCTGAACCGAATTAAGATATTAATTGACATAGAAACCGAATTTAAATGTAGTTAGGTCTTTGTATTGTTTCATTTTTCTACTTGAATGAATCTAGACATCTAAATATCTAATACAACCTTTTGGTGTTTTTTTTTTAAGAACAATAATCAATTAAACCTTAGAGTTAGTGAAGAGAAAAATATATGGGGCCATAGTGGTGTGATTTTGTCTTAGAAGCTATACGTGACTATGACATTATTGGTGGGACCTAGTAATGTCTATGTATAGATTCTCAAGCGAATTGTTGATAATGAGTGGACTAACACTAATGTAAATCCTTTATCAAATAAAACGAAGCACTAATGTGAATCTTAAAGTAACTTTTCATAATCAGGACTCAGGACTCTCTAAGTAACGTTATCGTCTCAAGAGACGTACCGCGTACGTATGTTTTTTTATAACATGTATGCATGATCATGCTGACAAGTTGGTTGTGGCATAATAATTTTTTTTTTTTTCTGCTAAAACTGTAAATATCATATTAATGAAAGTAGGATTTACAATAGCAAACCTAAGCATATGGTTCCTTGGCAAAAAAAAGGGGTAAAAAACAAGGAAGCAAAATAGTGATTTCTGATGATAATTCTATCTCAGCCAATGGCTCATAAGGTTTCCAAAGTTACGTTGATTACGTCTTGCATTGATCGTGTTGATGATTTGTCTGTCCAGGTCCCTGAAAATGGATAAAGGAGAAATGGAAACAGAGTTGTGTAAGAGGTTATTCCTCTGTTTCCAAATACCGTTAACCACTGCTTGTGTCACCAGTTTTCGGAGTACCGATGGTGAGCTGTTGCTGTTTCCACAGGTCCATGTGAGGAGATCTGTCCATGAGGTGAAGCTTGGACGATTAGTGCCTATCCTTGCCAAGACCTCTAGCCAAATAGTAGAGCTGAAATCGCAAGACAACATTAGATGGTCTCTGGATTCAGTTTCGGATGAGCACAAGACACACAAAGGAGATACTTGCAAGCCCCAAGAGACCAATCTTGATCTAACTGGCAGGCGATCAAGAGTGGTAATCCACATAGTAAAGTTCACAGGCGATTACGAGACAGAAATACAATTGAACTACTTGAAAACCGAATAGTATACAAATTTGCTTTCGGACCACAAGCTCTTAACAATTTGTATTACATAAAAGGTATCAAACGACATACGTCGGAAGTATATTTCAACGTCGGAAGTATGTTTTTTGAACTAAGGCTAAGTATACAGTTACATTGATGTATTTTCTTCCAATCTATTTATGTCCACCATGTCGGATGTGAATTGTTGTAGTTTAGTGGACAAAATGTCTATACTCCCGTACGTTATAAAAATATGTAGATTTCAAGTCATAATCAAGTTTTCAACGATTTTCTTAACTATAAAGTAAATAGTTGTTTTGTCATATATGTTTTTTTGGTAAAATTTTGTCATACATGTTATTTTCGGCCGTATACATAAAAATGATGTATGTGTGACTCTTTTCTTTGCTGGACAGCATACCAGTATACCACACACGCAGGTTCATTGCATGCCAACTTTTTGTCTTTTCACGAATATTATTAGGTGATGATTATATCTTTATATCAAGGAAATAAAATATTATATTTTAGAAAACCTCCCTAAATAGAGAAATAAATCTTGCAATCTGGCGTATTGATATTTCCCAGTTTCAAATTGTAAAAGGACATTGATAGCTGGAAATTGTTGGGCTAAGGAAACGGTAATAGTGTGACAAATTGCACATTCATGCATTGATGATATGTTGAGTAGGGAATTTGATATTATTTTAATGCATGAACAATAAATGTGTGTCATTTTTCTTAACTAAAAATAGATTATACATATAAAGACACTCAGACACAAAATTATATCTGGCCAGCTCACATTTTCCATACACCCCTATATAACAACAAACTTTTCATCCAGAGACAAAGCAAAAAGAAAAACATAAACTCTTCAAAGATATTAAGAAATCAACACAGAAACTCTTCAGTCTTTCAGTTATGACAAACACAAGAAGATCTCATGCAAGTTATAACTCACAAGACAGAGTAACAGATGATATCAGTGATGGTCGTGATCACAAAATCTGGGACTGCGAGAGTCCACTCTACGATGCGTGCGAACTCGTCTCTTTTGCTCACATCATCGAACGCAAATTACTGCCTTTCACTCCTCACACTCGGCCAGCAGGTTTGAGTCTGCGAGCTCTGATGGATAAGGATAAAGACGACTACTCTACTGCTAACGAGACGACGACCCGTTCTGGGAGGAGACATTGGTGGAGCAGAAAGAAGAATGAAGAAACACATGAAGAAGACAAGACAAACAAAACGTTTGGTAGTATTTTTTGGTGGAATTCGTGGTACAAGAAATTGTTTGTCTAATTTGTTAACAAGTTTTTTCCAAAGTTGTTTATGTGATGAAAAATTGTTGTGTTTAAAAGGTTTTCCTATTGTATGTTAAAATTATTTTTATTTTTGTGTGGTCTAAGAAATAAAAATTCATTCGGCTCCTATATAATTTATTTTTGTTGGGATTTTTTTTTCACATAATTGACATTTGTTTCCAAGCAAAAACAGAAATTGTAAAAGGATTACATTAGCATGAAAATATAGTTACTTGACTACTTGCAGAAAACAAATTACCGTACAAAAAGTAAATTATGTTACGAGTGGGCTTACAGTTAATCCCATATAGGCCCATATTCAGGGTGGAAATTTCCTAGTGCAACTATAAAACCCAATTGATTTGAATTGCATGCGTCGAATATCAAAAGCTATTTTGGCTTTACCTTTTGTTTTGTACTTCAAATCCTATGTATAAAGTATGCATAGCCGTCGACCACATCTTTTGTTTGTTTTCTATTGCTTTAGTTATTCTTCTGGAATAGATTGAAATAAGTTTGGTTCCTTTCCCTCGTTCGATCTTTTGAAAACTCTTCGTAATATTTTTCAATATTACTAGTTGAACGTTTTTAAATTTCATTTCTTTAACAGTACAAAATGTTATAAAAATGCACAACAAGGACCCCAAAGTTTCAAACTACATTTGAAAAAATATACCACTAAAAAGGTCAAAATCATCAGTTCAATTAAATTAGAAAAAATAAATGAGAAATCGACAACTAACTACTTTCTTCAACACGGTCATCAATTTAATGTTTCCTCTACTGTCCCAAATCCAGATTGGCTTTTGACCATTTCTCACTCTCATTGATTTTATTTTTGTGAGCTCCACTTCCATATAGTATTGTATTCTAACAATGTTTTACTGCTTTCAGAATATAATGCACTCTTTTGTTGGTATAGAGTACGGTTCGATAAATTTGAATGCAAATAATGCAATTCACCACCAGTTTCTCTTCTATGTGTAACAAGTAAAGTTTTAAATTAGTCTGGATTTCCAACCAGAATATTGAAAAAAGGTAAAAGTACTCTTTAAAATTTACTCCGATAAAAAAAATAAAAATAAATAGAATTAGAAGAAAGCAATGGCCCACTCTGTAGATTGTCCCGCCCATAATAAATCGACTATGAGCTCACTTTTGTCAGTCTTATTATTCTTTAACGTAGAGAAAAAACAAAATCAAATATTGTAATTTGGACTTGAGATAACAAATCTAAACGCTTTATGTATGTAAACGTTCCAAGACGGTTCGAACCATCTGATTATTGCGTTACGTGCGTCACAGCACACACGGAAGCATAATACAGTACTACGTTAACTCTCAAACGATACCGTTTTCGCTGTCCAAAAAGGCTGAAACTTCGTCGTTCATCATTTCCAATTCTGTTTAGTTTTCTTGCTTTCTTCTGCCGTGTGAGGAGGGAAAATGCAGAGTCTATAGCATAAACCCAGAGTCTCTCTCTCTCTCTCCCCCTCCTCGTCCTCCTCTCTCTCTCTAATTTTCTCTTCTTTTTCCGGGAAAATGAAAGTTAGGAAAAGCTAAAAGAGGATCGAATACAAACAAGAGGTTCTTGCTAGATTGCATCTTCTTCATTTCTCTAGAGACCTCAAAAATCCCATAAAGAAAAAGCAAAAAACTTCCAAGCTCTCTTCTTTTCTTCAACAAGAAGTCGTCTTCATATTTAGGTTGTTGAGTATTCTTCTTCTCAACTCAGTGACAAATTTTTTTTCTGTGTTTTTGGTACTAATGGCCGAGTCGTCGACGATCGAAGTAAGGCTAGTTCGTTGTCCAAAGTGCAAAAATCTCTTACCAGAGCCTAAGGATTGCTCCTTTTTCCAGTGCGGTGGTTGTGGAACCATTCTTTGCGGTTAGTTTCCATTTCCATCTTCTCTTCGGATGACGAAAGTTTCAACCAATTAAAAAAAAATGAATAATTTCGAGATATGTTCTTGCTTTAATGTTTCAACTTTCAACCACTCATAAATTTCTGTTTCTGGTTTTCCATTTCGATGACGTCGATTGGGTAAAAATGGTAATTTTTTTTGTTTCTGACCCAAAAGAGTTTTTGTTTGTTTTGTATGTGAAGCCAAAAACAAGGACCGTGAAGCAGATCCAGTGTCTGATAAGTCCGTGGATAATAGAGCCAAAGAAACTCAAGTTAACCTTAGTTCAAGTGAAGAAGAATTAGATTTGGATGATGCTTCATTAAGACACCAACAAATTGGTCAAACAGAGACTTTTGATGTTCACACTGATGATGATCCTTGCTCGAAAGTGAATGTTAACGATTCTCAATCGGGTTTGGATCGGTTTAGGAAACTGAAAAGAGCAATCAAGAGATACGACTCCGAGGGCTTCAGATTCTCTGCTTCAAACTACTTTCAAGATTCCGTGTATAGTGATGAAGCAATCCGGCAAGACAGAGCCGGGCTGGTGAAAAAGTTGGATAGGCTAAAAGAAAAGGCTCCTCTGCGGTTTCCAAGTTCCGGGAAACACATTGCAGGACCTTCCTATAACCATATTTATCCTCCATGTCACTATAACCAAAACCCTGATGCTTCTCTGCACGGTCAGATGCATAACTCAGCTTATGGAGACCCTCACAGGCTCATGATGCATGAAAGAGCTCTGCATCCATCTCATCCGCTCCATTCCACAAAGTATGACGATGGTTTGTTCGATACATACCAGCGAAACGGGATGCTTCACCAGTCAAGTTGCTCTTGTGTCCACTGCTATGATCCATATCATAGAGCTTCAGGCTCAGTGTTTCCTCCATCAGGCTTGCCTGATGCTCTGCGTAATCCTGGTTTTTACACTCATGAGACAAGTTTTGGTTTTGCTCCATTGCATAGTCCACGAACCTTTGTTCCTCCTCCTCCTCCTCCTTCTCAATCTCGTGGTCTAGGAAGACGTCCGAATGATCTTTCTCTGTTGCATCATCACCCTAAAGCTGGATCAGCTTCAGGTTGTTCTCGCTTAATCAACCCTGTGGCTGGTGGTGCACCGTTTATAACCTGTAGAAACTGCTTCAAGATTCTGAATTTGCCAGACAAAACAGATTCCTCTACAAGAAAGCGACAGAGACTTCGCTGCGGAGCGTGCTCTTACTTGATAGAATTTTCCTTTCTTGATAAGAAACTAGTCCTTCTCTCTACGGATCCTGCTTCAGAGAGAAGACCACAAACTCATAGAAGGCTGCATTGGTCAACTGCTGCTACTTTCTCTTCTGATGACTACGATAATGCTCCTTACGAATTCCATGCAGTGGATACGGCTTTGATCTCCGACAAACCTGAAGAAGTGCACATTGCGGATTCTACTTCTCCTGAAGTGTCTGAAGACGACCTAAGTTCAGATAGTCCTCTGCCTCTTCACAAACAGTTTGAATACTCTTCAATCAATGTAAGGGACCGGTCTGGGCCAATGAGCCAAAGCTCTCGTTCAGAGAAGGACAGAGTAACACTGAACAAAATAGTCATGAGGCAGAACTCTATGAAAGAAGCTTCGGTTGCAGTTGAGATGGATGACTACTCTCACTACAGTGAAGTGTCTCAAGAGTCTTCTGCAAGTGACTATAGAGATGACCAGGGAAGAAACAAGAAGGGCGGGTTTGCGAGTATCGTGAAGAACAGCTTCAAGGATCTAAAGAAATCAATCAAGAATGAAAGCAGAAGTAGTGATGTTTCGGTAAATGGGCAATCTGTAGCTGAACGTCTGGTGAAAATGGCAGAGAAGCAAGCTGGACCAATCCGGCCAGGAAGCTACTGGTACGCGAGGCTTCTTCAATCTCTTAAATCCTTCTTTTCATTAACTTAGCCCTAATGGCTCACTTCTGTTCTTTTCCTTGTTACCAGGTACGACTATAGAGCTGGATTCTGGGGAGTAATGGGAGGTCAATGTCTTGGAATCTTACCGGTAAAGATCAGTCACTGAGACATATTCTTCATTTTCTTATGAATGTGTACTAAAAGCTGGTGATTTCTCTCTTACAGCCTTTCATTGAAGAGCTGAATTACCCAATGCCAGAGGATTGCGCTGGCGGAACCACAAGAGTCTATGTGAACGGAAGAGAGCTTCACCAGAAAGACCTGAGATTGCTCAATGCAAGAGGTCTCCCGAGGGAGAGAGAACGGTCCTACACGGTTTACATCTCAGGTAGAGTCATAGACGAAGACACCGGTGAAGAGCTAGCTAGTCTTGGCAAACTCGCCCCAACGTAAGCTTTTTTCACAAAGCCTAAACATCTATCTATTTTGCCTTACCTTTCGAGTTCATTCATGTAACTGAGTTTGATGCTACTACATGGTCAGGGTCGATAAGCTGAAGCGTGGGTTTGGGATGAGAGTTCCAAGGAGAAGTGCATGAAGAAATCTCAAGAAATGTTCATGAGCCTATATTCTCTGAACATCCGTTTTAGATTATCCTAACATTCTCTAAGTTAAAGCTTTGTTCTTACTCTAGACTCTAGAGAGCCTTCTGATCAATGTAAAGAAGGAACGAAAATGTGCAAAAAAAATGAAATCTCATTTATTCGCAAACAAGAAACTAAAACACAAAAAGGATCTGTTGTATATTTGAAAGCTTACAAAAGCATTATTGAGCTTAACACATGACTCGCACAGCATTTCGTAGCATCTTCCCAATTTGCCTTTTCACTTGTTTGGTGAGTCATTCTTCTTCGTCTCCCCTTTCGTAACCTGATCATGTGAGACATAAACAAAAATGTCCACTCCAAATTAAATCTTTGGATCAGCAATACAACGTTGATGAATATCTGAAATACGGATCAAAACATTTATAGCGAATGAAGCCAATTCTAATCTGTAAAATTGAGCATACGAAGAACACAGAAATTTCAATTAAAGGACGTTCCTTTCACGCTTTAAGGTTCGAAATGGCCAATTACTGATTCGTCAATAGGATTTGCGATCCAAGTAAGATCAAATGAGAATCGAAACAAATGGAAATAGCGAAGTAGCAAATGGAAGGAGGTAAAGACGATCCAATCAAGAGATGGATCTAACGATCTAGGGTTGATTAAAATTAAAAATGATTCAAAACAGGAGATGAAGAAGGAAATTACGTTCTGTATCAAGAAGCCGACGGCAACTGCGGCAACTACGGCTCCGCCGAGGATTACCGGTGGACCGGAAAGCAGACTCCACTTTCGGTATATCATCTTCTTCCCTCTTCCTCTTCTTCTTCTTCCTCTACAGAAATTTCGCTGTGGTCTTCTTCGAGTATCTGCAGGATTCTTTCGATGCAATCGACTAAAGTTTCTGTTCGAGATTAGGCTGATAATTTGGTATTGGGCTTTAGGCCCATTAGACCCATCGATTCCTTCTTAGCAAAAATTATAAACGAGAAAGATTGATTTGAAACCTCAGCTTAAATTCTGCTAAATTAAATTTACATTACATTTTTTTACTATCTGGAGTTCCCTTTGTTTTTGTTTTTCGATTTCATTTGGAAAATGTAAGAAATGAACATTCTACTGTTTAGATGTATCCGAATAATTGCATTAGTTTATAAAGCATTTTCACACTTTAATCATTCAAGTTTTTCCAACAAATGTCATGCTATCAGTTTAACCATATCCCTACCACCATTCCTTCCAACTTCCAAGAACGTTCCATTTAATTTTAAAAATAACAAAACCTTATAAAATCTTTCCTTTATTGATTGTCATCAAGTATCATCCAACTTCATAGGGAATTGACTAACTTTACTGAACAAAAAAGGGCAAAAAATCATATCCTAAAAGCCAATCTTATTATTGATCGGCAAAAATAGTTTATCTAACCTGAAATTAAACTCACCATCTATAGACTATAATAATTACTTACTGCAACGAGAAATTACATTCACAAGTAAAAAAAAGAGCTACGACCACAACCAATCCTGTCCAAAATCGATAATATTGTCCAAACACGAGAAATACGAATCTGCAGTTTCCGAAATCTCAACGGAAGCAGGAGCAGTCGCAATCTCGGTCGTAATTCCAGACCCTGACGTTGAAGGAGACAGTTTCTCCACCAGATTTTCCGGGAAAATGTTACTTCTCCAGCCATCACCACCAACACCACCACCATTCTCAATCTCATGGTTAGCGAAAGAAAACGTCCTGAAAATGTTCTTCTTGCTCTCCAGATCCTCAAGACTTACCCTCGTTTCTTCGGTTTTCTCCGGCTTAACAACATCTGCTGGCTTCTCTGTTTCATATAATGCTCTGTTTCCTTCTTCGAACATCGTAACAGAGAAGTTCGTCTTGTTCGTGGACGATGTGTTGTTGTTGCAAGAATGGTTTCCGAGATACTTCACTTCGAAAATCGAAGGATCTGTGTCTGATTTCTGGACTTGCTTCACTGCTAAACAGTTCTTCGTGAATCGATGCGTGCATCTGTAGTATCCTCTGTAATAACAGAAAACAGAGCAATCAAAATTTAGCAAATCAAACAAAAAGCAAAAATTAAATTAAGCAGATGATTACGAGAATTGATTAATTACCTTGGATTCTTAGATCCGTGAATCTCTTTCTGTCCGTATTTTCTCCAGCAATGACCATCATCATTAGGACCCTTTTCTTGTCCTGCTCCAACAAAAACCCGAACTTTCTCGTTCTTCTTCTCAGATATTTTCCTGGAAATGACAGAAAGAAAACAGAGTCAGACACATGAGATTCTAAGTCGGAACTTAACAATACTCTTTTTAACTCCAAATTTTACCTCTTTTTAGACACGTGTTTTGAATCCTTGTCATCGATGATCTGAAGGCTTTGCTTGTTCTTGTCGTCGTCTTTGAAGCTCAAGATGAAAATGGCGTTATGGTAAATACGGAGAATTTCATCTATCAAGGCTTTGCTGGATTCGGTTGAAGAAGTGTGTTTGAGATTGCTCATCAATCGTTTCGCAAGCTCTCTCCCTTGCTCCAGCTCGTTGATCACTAGTTTATCTTCCATGGTCATCTCTGCATTCACTCACTAAAAACCCACCAACAAAATTTTAAGAATCTTTTTTAAGAATTCTCTGTCTCTTTTGAGGGTTGGGATGAGATGTGAGTTTTCGTGTGTTTGCATCTCTTTGTATTTATATTCATGAGTGATGGATGAGAATCTATGATGGTACCATGTCCTTGTGCTTATACAATAAGTTTATTTTATTAATTTTTATTTTGTTTTAAGCTTGGACCAGAAGTTGTGTGGAAAAGAGAAGGATCTTGTCGAGAAATTGACAAATTCCGACTACTACTTTTATTTCCCACCGATTTTTATTATTTGTCACTGTTTCTCTTCTTAGATTTCTTGAAAAGCTTGAGCAAAATAAAGAAATTTTAGTTTAGTCTAAATTCTAATGGTTACTTGTTTCTGCTATAAGAAAACACAATATTATATAATTTCATGTGGTTATTATTTTGATATTTTATGAATAAGATTTATATTTTCGATCTATAAATGTTCTAGATAAGATCAACTATTGATCATATTATCAAATACACACATCTATAAAGCGTCAACTATTTCTCCACAATCACAGTAGAACCCATATTTGGCAAAGTCTCTCTCACTCAGTCAGTTTAGCTGATTCTAATCTTATTGTATTTCACATGAAATTTGTTTATGGCTATAATAATTCAACCGAGTAAACCAATAAACAATCATCTTCAAAGTGACCCCATAGTCCTCCTACCGCGTTATAGATCCGGTTGAATGCTTTTTTATTTCCGCTGACGTGAGGATTGTGATGTCATGCCTATTAATTCACTTATCCTGTTACATCTTCGTTAATCGATTTACATATATTAGCCATTGTATATATATGCTGCTGATTATATAATTAAGTATGGTAGGGTGGTCAAATATCGAGATTATAGTATCCCTAAAAGTAAATCGATCGAGAATCTATGGATCAAATCAAAACATGCAGGTGTGGGTGAGAGGATATAGACTAATGCACCTTTCCCTATCTCACAATTGACAGCGACGTAATAATATCAATGTGGTCAAATTCGATACCACGATGATCTATCTTTTATATGTATTCACCAAATGTATAGGATTTGAACAAAAGGATTCAAAACAGGTGATAATTTTTATTTTATTTTAAAACAGTTAGTATATATAAGATGATGCCTTATGGGTTTATACATTTGGCATGTTCATCGTACTGAATGCGTCAGTATAATATCGTGCACACTATGAAAAGTAGATAATATTGATATATATGCATGTGTCACTTTAAATTCTATGTTTCTCGGTTATCAATCAGGTTTGTAGCTTTTTGAGTCCCAAACTAGTTTTTTTGTTTTGTTTTGGAAGTATGTGTCCTAGCTAGAGGCTGCTGCTGAACTTAAACTAGAGAATAAATTTTCAATTTTCAATGGATGTTTATTCTCTACGCGTCGACTACTTCTTCATTTAACGCGTCCAGATCAAACGAATAGTTTATGATTAACTAAATTAAGTAAAGTGACCGAGGAGTAGCATTTACGTGCACATGGCCTTTGATAAGTTGGTAACTTTAACTATAAATATCAAATTATTGATCAAACACGAATGGACGACGATATGATAAGTGGTTTAACTTAATCTGTGGGTTGTTATTGCTTTGAAATGGTAACAGCTAACGATTATAAATAGCAAGACACTTTTTTCTCAAATTACTGATTCCTTATTATATGTTTGTGTTTATTTACAGGACATAAACTTTTTAATGCAACCATCCACCGAACCATAATGGTTGTAACTTATATGATTTCTTAATTCTTATTATAGCTTAGTTAACATCGGAACTATATGATTGTAAAATTGACTAGAAGCCACACCTTTTTAAGAACATTAACCATAAATCATTTTAAAAACAAAATTAATCCATCTTCAACTTGAGATTTGATGAAGAAAACATTCGAGTAGTAATGATATGATATGGTAAAAGTCTAAAAGATTCAGAGAATAATGACCCGAAGACGAAAACCCTCCAAACCAAATCTTTAAACTAATAAGAATGTGAACCACCAGACAAGTAATACTAGTGATGGTCTCTCTAAATGAGGAAACCTTTTTGAAATAGAAAAGAAAACTCCATACATAATCTTTCATTATCAATAGCCCAATGCGGGTGGATAAGAACCATTGGAATTTGAATTTCGGGTTAGATAAATCCACCTAAATATACAAATATGAAATTTCAGTGAACTTTAAGAAAGTATCAGGTAATTTCCACGAAAGGCCCCTTGGGTGCGCGTAGAAAAAGATCGCTTCCTAAAGGGCAACATATCACGTCATGCCGATCAAATATTACTCGTACTACTGTAGTAAACATACATCTACATTTGAATCTCCTGAAATTAATAGTTCTGAATTTTATTGA